TTTGAGGATATCAGGTTTTATTATCCAAACAAAATGAAACATGAATTTTTATTTAAAAATAAACTCAAAAGACTTAAACCATAGTGACATATCTCATATACCTGAATAAATTATTTTACATTTTAATATGTAAAATATCAATAGCATAATATAATTATAATAACACAATATCAGTTACATCATAAATATGAAATAACATCAATAACATAATAAATATGAGTAACATAATATCATTCTAATTACATAATGTAAATTACTATATTACATGTTAATATGGGCTCCTTGACATTATATATCCTTTTTTTCACTAATTGGTTTTATTAACTGTTCAGACTTTAAAATTATTTGCAGGACAGTTTTTACTGTTTGCCAGAGATCTTCTTTCCTTATGGACATTTTCTTTTTAGAGACAGAACACAAGTTTTCTCTTGGATTACTATCTGGAGAGGCTGGGAGCTATTCTGTTAATTTGATGTTTCTAAATACTTTTTTTTTTTTTTTGGCAAGGTGGGCAGTAGTAATGTTTGTGAAATGTTGAATGAACATTCTTTTATAAATATACTCTTTCACTTAAAGCTTCTTCATCATAAGCTGTATTACTGAAAAAAAGAAATAATCGGCTTGTTCAAGAATTGTTCGTTTAATTTATCTTGATACCATCATCAACTTCGAAGAGAGGCTTTAATTTTACTACTAACAATACAAACCCAGAAGAATATTCTACTTTCTGTTATTGTCTTTTAAGTTGTGTTGGTTGACTATTTCCCAGCAAGACACAACCTTTATCTCATCCATCAAGTTCATTCATTGTAGCTCTATATTCATCACTAAGGAAACTGATTATGTAGCAGAAATCTTATCAACTTCGAGGTTTCTTTTGTGATATTTACCTAAAGGTAGTAGTTTGGTTGCTTTCATGACTGTTTCTCTCTTAAATATTTGAAACATTTTCTTGCTGGTCAGTCTACTTTTTTTGCTTGTTACTCTATTTACGTTTTCAAAAGCCAGTTTTCTTTACTTTTTTTTTTCTTCGCTTGCCAGATTTTTTAAATTTCTTTTTTAATTGTTCTATGAACTCTGTTCATCTTTCTTGCAATTTCCAATGCCATTTTCCCGTCAGTCAATAACTTTACAGCATTTTGTTTCTCTTTTGAGGTTAGATCTTACAATCTATGAGAGTCTTTATATATATCTGAGTAAAAAAAAACAAACAAAAAAAAACAAATACATAAAAATAATCATACTACTAGATATGGCAGTGAATGCTGAGCAATCTACTCCCAGATAAAGAAAAATCTTGAAACAACAGAAATGTGGTTCTACAGAAGGATGCTGAGAATACTATGAACTGAATATGTTAGCAATGACAAAGTTTTAAAGAAAATGGAAACAAAATAACACTTATACTCAGAATCAAAAAATGCAGTTGAATTTTCTAGGGCATATAATGAGGAGAATGTCTTCGAAAATTTTATCCTCTCAGGTCAGATTGAAGGTAAGAGAAGCCAAGCGAAACAATGCATAACCTACCTAGCAAGTGTGAGTAAATGGATGGCAGAACAAGGTTTAGGAAAGATAACAAAAAAAGAGAAAATTTATTATGAGCAACAAAGGACAGGAAATTGTGGAGAGCCATGATTGCCAATATCCTAAAGGGACACATTACATAGAAAAACAACTTAAGTTGCATAATCTAATCTCATACCACTAAATAAGATACTGCAAATATTTAAATAAAAATATTGAAATTCACATGGCATATTTATCATATAACTATAATATGGATGTTTTACCACCTTTTTAATACTACTACTATTGCAAAAACAATTACTCCAATATTTGACACGGTGTACACATACACAGATTATATATGTATATAATCTTTCATATGGGTTAACTGATAACACCCAGGAGTAGGATATACTCATCAACTGAAACTTACACGTTTTCTTTGGGAGGCCATTTTCAAATTGACCCTTGCAAGAAGACCCAGCAGCTCCACCAGGTGTAGAAGTTATATACAAATGTTGGTGATAGAGAACAACAGAGAAAATGTCCAAGAAAATATGTGGCAGAATGATAATCAAAAATGGCATGTTCCAAGTAAGCAAATACCGGCACCGCCCTGTTGGATCAATGTAGGAAATGCCTGAAGCTATCTTGGGAAGCTTCCTCCTCTAGCTTCATATGAGTGCAACTATCTGCTAAGATTCTGTGTGTGTGTGTGTGTGTGTGTGTGTGTGTGTGTGTAGTGCGATGTGTAAATTGTCGCCATTTTATATTTTTAATTTTGCATATGTGCATTGTTTGTTTTAGATTTTGTTGACTGCACAGTATAATAGTCAATTGGACACAATATGTGAGAAAAAGAGTATCATGGCACAATTCACTCTGCCAGAAATTTGAAAATCACATGTTGTACTGCTTGGCATTTACACTGGAAGCTCCAATACGAATATTTCAGAGTGTTTGGTTATGAATCTGAGGACAATGCAAAGAATTCAGATTTGGATGAGTCTATATAAATGCAGCCTCCAACATAATGAAAAGCTACAATTTTGTTAAAATTTTCTTTCTCTCACACACAGACAGACACACACGTGTCTCTGTGTGCATATATATATATATATATATATATATATATATATATATATATATGTGTGTGTGTGTGTTGTTTTCATGGATTTGTATCCTGCAATCAATGTAGGAAAGCCTGTAACAATCATGGAAATCCTGCAAAATTTTTGCTCACAATTCAAGCCATGATGTTATATATATATATATATATATATATATATATATATAAGAATTATTTATTGTCTTGACTGTGTTTTGCAAATTTGAAGTTTTATTTATTAATCCATAAATACAGAATTTATAAGACTGTGACAGATTCTTTTCTTCTCTCTAACACCCCCCACCCCTAGTTTAAACAAGAAAAGTCAAAAAGAAATCTATAAAATCATTGTCAATAAATGGAACTCTTCTTCCATTAAGTCTTCATCCTTACTTAGGTACATTTGTCTTTTGCTCTGACAGAATCAGCTTCCTGCTCTCTCTCCTTCCCACTCTCTCTTTCTCACTATTTTCATTTGGTCTTTATTACTTTGTTCGCAAACAAATTCCTTGTTGCAAAATGATAGAAACATTTTATTTCATAATTCTTAGTAAAAAATAATAATTTAGATATATTTTATGAAAATAAGCAGGAGCACATGTAATATAGAACTGTATGGGTGGGTGTCTAAAAATTCAGATATAACTAAAAATATATCCATAAAAGAACAGTAAAAACTAAGACAAATGGAAAATTTAGCTGACTCATTTCATCCTGAAGTTCATCAGTGGACAAAACATGTCAGCTAAGATAAGTTAATTGTTTTGTTTTTATTCACATATATATATATTGAACAATAAAAAATATTAAAAAATTAAAATCTTCAGACACACTGGGTTGTAGATAAATATTCTTTCGTTTTTGTTATTATTATTTCATTTAGATTCCTCAACTAGTTTCGGCCAACATGGCCATCATCAGGAGAAAAAATATTTCTGCTTGCTGGTAGCAGTGAACTACAGAAATGAATGTCTTGATGGAGAAAATGAACTTTTGTTTGTTGTTGACATTTGTTTTTTTATTTTTTTTATCTTTTTAACATGAATCTTTTAATATTCCTTGTGTTGGTCAAACAGTCTCTTTTAAGTTGTTATTTGAGATAAGAGCTGGATGGATCCATGCTGCTCTAAATATATATATATATATATATATATATATATATATATATATATATATCATCCACAGACAGACTGTTTTGCTGTATCACAGCTCTTCAGTGTGACTAGATATGTGGTTGCTTCAAGCCAGGATTGAAACTTGACTGATTTGACATGCTATGAAGAAAGGGAATTTTTAATGCATTATATACATGATATAAGCATTATCAGCTGCCAGAGTGCTCTATTCATTATGAAGAACTTAGTATTATAGCAGGAGCAGCTGTCAAATACCCTTTCTTCCAAAGTGTGCAACTAATGAATGGGAGCATATATAGTCATCCACAGACTGTTTTGCTGTATCACAGCTCTTCAGTGTGGCTAGACACGTGGTTGCTTCAAGCCAGGATCAAAACTAAATATATATATATATATATATATATATATATATATAGTCATACATTTTTTAAATAGCTTTTTAAAATAGGTTTATGACTTAATACAGCCATATCATGATGGAACACTGGTTCTCATACGATTACTGAAGTTAAGCAGCATTAAGTCTGGTCAATATCTAAATGGGTGGCTGCTTGAGAATGCCAGGTGCTGTAAGTTTGGATGTGCAAATGGTATAATGGGCAATGCCTCAAAATTGCAAATCAGAGTGCCAAGTTCCAATTCCATTTAGGTTCATTATATTCATTTATGCACAATTACGAAAGTTATGAATCCACCTCTTCTCCCCTGCTATGGGTTAATTAGTAAGACTTGTATCAGCATATCATTATTATTTCCAAAATATTTTATCAATCTAAAAATATTTTTAGGCTTTAAATAACCTGCAAAAGTTTGACAAGCTATAAAAACAAAAATAATCTATAATACAGTTTTTCTTATCTATATAGATATAGTATATATATTTTCTATATAAAGTAGACACCTAACTTGAGTCTTTCTCTTTGACTCTCTGTTGATGCAATGAAATAAAATTTTCTAATTATAGAAATACAAATATTTTCATCTATTTCAATGCACTCTCTCAAGAAAGGTAAAATACCTACGTGTTTGGGACGTAATGGGAAGTGTTTACAGAGTTTTTTCTTTTCTTTTCTTTTATTTTATTGATTATCCACAAGTGACTTGTGAAATTGGTTTCAATTCTTATTTCAGAATTGTCTTTTATTTATTCCAATGACTGAATTTTTTTCTTATTTTCCCTTCTTGTTCTTTCCAGATGGAATGATCGGCACCTGTTACTTTGTTTTAAATCATGGAAGTACTACGAAATGTTGGGCCAGCTTTTTCTGCAAGGACGATTGGAGAATATTGTTGGTATGAAAGTCAGGGAAATTGAACGTATGTATTTCACTAGGTATTTAAAATAAGTAAACTGTATGTTGGTCTGTGCAACATCAAATGTCATTGATGGAATATATATATATATATATATATATATATATATATATATATTCTAACAATGATATTTGATGTTGGACTGGCCAACTCCCATTCGTTTGCTCCCCTGTTCTATGCAATCATTTCTTTGAGATTTGTTGTAAACTGATATCAGAAAAACTGTCTTAAATAGGTTTAAAACATTTTGATAGCTATTTATTACATATACAGCATGTTATGATTGTGATGTAGAAGAAAACCAAATCTTAACTTGAAAAAGAATTTGCTAAAAAAAGAATATCAGAATCAAAATCGGGTCGATTTCAGTAGGCCTCGAAATACAGTAGTTGTTTGCACTTCTCTACCAGTCTTGACCAATCACAACCTTTCTTACCCCAATAAAAAAATGCTACTTTAGACAACAGGAAATCTCTGCAAAACCTTCTTTCATTGCATGTTTTGGATACAGATTTTATAATTCTTTTGATTTACACCCCTTGCATTTTTTTACTTTGGACTTGCAAGACTGATTTGTACCCTTTTGAATGATGATCCCCTATATTTTTTGGGGGGTGGGGGTGAGGATTGGAAACTTCTATTGCTATTTGCTCACAATAATATTATAATTCATAATATTTGTTAGCATTTAAAATTTCTATTAAAAAATGGATGGCAACATTACTTAGACTTCTTGATAGATTTCATTTACTCCCAAGCTGTGATCTAAATGCTAGGATAGTTACCTCTTTATTTGAATAGCTATGTAATTGAATTAAAAAAAAAAAAACATTGAAAAAACAATCACTTATAAAGATTTAAAAAAAAAAAAAAACAGATTGGAAATAAATAATGAAATAGTTATTTTTAATATTTGATTATTAAAGTTGACTAAAACAAGAACTGATATGTTGGATAATATATAGTGGAATTTTAGTTTTAAAGAATTCAGATTTGCATAATGTTCAGTTATTCTTGACATCTTGTCTCTATATTTCTTAACTTACCAATTTCATTGCAAGAAATTGCTGTTTACATATATGCATTAAAAATTAAGCATGTTTCAATGTCTTTTCACATTCACTTTTCTTTTCTTTGATTTTTTTTATTAATTATTTTGTTTAATTCTGCATTTTTAATTTTCACTCTCTCCCCCCCACCCTGACTATTTACAGCCATATTTTTCCTCTTTTCCATCAGTTCTGTTGATTTTCAGTATTTCCTTTTGTCACTGGAATTTCCATTTGCCTTCCATATTATCTCTGCTGCTTCCTTAATTAGAGTTGCCAATTTGCTATTCATATTTTCCATGTTATTTTTGTCTTTTCACAAAGCCTGGAATCTCTTTTTGATTTCTACCTGAAATTTGGGGTGGTTCTTTTTTTTTTTTTTTTTTTTTTTTTACCTTATTAGAATATGCTTTCTTTCACAGAATTATTTTTGTTTGAAAATCAAATTTTTTGCTCTGCAAGCTACCATTTTGTGATTGTTTCCTCAATGAACTTTGTTTATTATAGTCACATCTTTAATGGTACCTTGTCAGCGATTACAAAGCCAGTGTAATTTTTGGTTTCTTTGTTTCCACTTTTCTAAATCCATATATTGTACCATCATTTTTTTTTTTTTTTAAATGGTCTGATGGTCTGATGATCACTCAAAGTGTGAAACTGACAGTCACCATGGAGTGTTGATTTCTATATCCACACTTTGGAAAGTGTGATCATCATGCCGAATTTTAATTCCAGCAAAGATCATTGTATTAATTTTTGCACAAATGCTCTTTTTTGGGGGTGGGTGGGGGTATGATTCCATTTCTTATTTTGTTTTATTCATTCAAAGAAAACTGACTTCAAACCCTTGGGTTTGAAGTCAGTTTTCTTTTGCCTAGACTTGTTGCCAACCAAGGCAAGAGAGTCCAGTCAGCTCTGATATTTAACCCATAGCTAAGGTGGGAAGAAATGAGGCTGTTTGAATACATTGTGGCACACTGTGCACCATTTCTCTGCTATCTGTTTGTTTGATAACTGTGGCCATTTCTACACAAGCTTTCAACATTATAATCAAATCATCTGCATCAGTAGTCCTAATGGTTCAGTCCTAAGAGTGTTCAATGGGAGTATGTATATAATGTGTGTGTAATTCAGTATATTTTGGTAGTAATTGTACATGCAAAAATGTCTTAAGATTATTCTTTTTAATAAGACATTTTAAGACAGATATGGCAGAGATTTCACCATTGTCTACAATCTAATACATTGAAAAACCCACACATATTCCCTATATGACAGCAGATCAGGCAGACATCTTTGACCTCTTCCACACATACTGCCCTGAAAAATGTCTTAAAGAAGCTCCCCACACCTCTGGACACTTCAGATCATTCCCTAGTTTGTGTGAAAGTTGATGCCAAACTAAAGGCATCCCCTGATAGACCATTCCACAGAATGATTTTTCAGTACATGAAAGCAGGTTGGGACAGTTTCTAATCCTACATGCTGGACGCTCCTCTCATGGCCTTCTCCAAACACACTGACCCCAAAACTGTTGCCTTGTATCAGAATGAATCTGTACTGGAATAAAGAGTTTTATACCCTGGGGGAAAATTAAAGGGTTCAGCTCAGAATTCCCTGTATGTTACCTTGATCGATATACACCTGATGTCGGCTGGAAGGTACAATAGTCAAGACATCATGATAACAAGAACAAAGATGAGGACAATACTCCGAATGTAAATAGGGCAAATAGTAAACAATAGAATCATGAAATTTAATCATAAGACCTTTGAAGGGAGTTTTGCATACTTATCATCTGTGGTGGTGCAAGAGGGTGCAGTCACCCAAGGTGCAAGTGTGAAGGGGCACAAAATTCTTCCTGTTGGTAATACTGGCAAAATGGGAACTAGCCCAGAGCACCAAATACCATTGAGCAACTTTCATGTACCTTAAACAATAAGACATCAGGACTTTTCCAATTACAACTACGTAAAAATAGGAAAATGAATAAAACAAAATAAGAAAATTCTCTGCGATAAAGTCAGGGTACCTACAATAACAGAGGCCTAGATGGGAAGATATGTGGGGTGAGATCATAAAGGATTTTCTGGGCTTGCATTGTATTCTGTTTTACAATTTATCATAGCCATATTAGCTACTCTTTTCTCTCTAATTGTTTTTTTTTATAATTATTTTATCCCAAGCCACAAAGATGCAAGGGGTTACTGAGTGTGAGAGAGTATGGTAAAAATTAAACATTATTAAGAAAGAACAATAAAAGAACAAGAATTATTTAAATTGTTGAAGACCAAAGTTGATTGAGAACCCAGAATCTGGAAGAGAGTTCCACAAGTTAGAAGTGCAAGAGAAGACAGATCTGCAATGTGATCGTTCCTGACTTGGCACTTTGACTACAGTCACTTTCCCACAGATGTGATGTGGCTTCCCTCTGCCTTTTTTACAAATATTTTTAAGGCAACTGCTCTGATGAGCTATTTTCCCTGGTGCTCCGACTGCATAATACTAGTTTGGCATTTAGGTCCCACTCTTTTACTGTTGAAACTGTTAAATGTAACTGCCTCTTCTACTCCAACAGCTTCTTCTCTCACACTTCATGACAGTGGAACTCCCTTCCTCTTCCTTGCTTCCTTGATAAGTACAATCTTCAAAAATTTTAAAATTTAAATATAATGTCAATCATCATCTTCTGATACCTTGATCCCTGTTCTTCTTTTTATCCTTTCCTCAATCCCCCCCCCCACATACCCAGTCTTTTCTCTTATCTTCACTCTCTGTAAACCCTTGTGTACCCATGGCACTCCTACCTTGCTTGGAGTGAAATGTTTAAAAAAAAAAAAAAAAAAAGTAACTGTTCACTTAGAGTTACAACTAACCATTTCAACTGTAAGCTGATGAGACCTTGCCACCAATCAAGTACTGTGCTTAAATCCATAAAGTCTAGTTACCTAAGAGGAAAGCTTATCAGAATAATTACCATGAAAATATTTCTAGAACAGGCATAGAGAAGCCATGATATGATGGTGGAAATGTGACTGAAACTGAGACAGCAAGAATCTCTTAATGTATAGCAGAAGCACCTGACCAGATGTATAATCTCCCTGCTTTCTTTGTGGTCTTAGTTGCAATTCACTATCTCACTTCTATCTTTCTGTACACATGTGAGTTTATTGACCAAATCATATTTGTGATAAAGGATTTTAGCTTTTGAAATTCGGATCTGATAGAAATCTCAAAATGCCATTCTCATGACAGTTACTGAAGAAATGACCAGTGAAAAATAGAAGTGGCACCAATTGGTTCCAACCTTTGAAAATTTAGGTAAGAGCCAAAATTTTAGAAGAAATAAAACCATATAATATCAACAGTTGGCTAAAAAGCATTGACGAATAGCAAGTTCTTAAAGGAAAGTCAAAAGTCTCATAATGAAAAAAACAAGAAACAAACAAAATCATTTTCTGAATACCACTTTGTCATTTCTATTCTAAAATAAAATTAAAAAAAATGGCCTCTAAGAAACTCAAGTATGTCTGTGATTTTTTTTCACAAGAATTAACTAGTTGAAGAATAATATCATATTGTACAGATTTTTTTATTGGGTTTCATATTGACACATTTTTAAAGCTTAACATTTTTTAGACATTCAAAAATTAAAGAACAATATGAAACAATATTTTTTTTTATCTGATCTCATATTTTAATCATACATCTTTAAAGCTTAAAATTTTTTTAGGCATTTGAAAATTGAAGTATAATACCAATGCAGTCCCTTTTACTTATGGAATGCGTTTACCTGGCCTCATATTCTAATCATATTTTTGAGGAATCAAAGAATTTACAAATAATACTAACAATAAAATTTTTTTAAAAATCAGTAAACTATTGTAATAAATCAATCAGGATTTTTATTCTCTTAATTATTATTAATATTTTTCATGTGTGTGTGGGTGTCTG